TATGTTCCCCTAAAAGTTGAACTAATGAGAAATAACACACTTCGTGGAAAATATAGTTTCAGTGATAAACTAGCTCACCGGAAGCAAAACTCATGGTAAAATTGCCTGATTTCTAGTAACTTCATGTGTAAATAGCTATTTCTTGAGAAAATGGAATAGAATGCAAGCTACATGAAAATAGGACATTTTGTCTCTTTGGTTCACAGTGCTTGGCACATAGTAGATACTCATTAAAATTTTTGTTGAATGAATTAAATAATTAAGCGTGAGAGGCCGAGCACAGTGCCTCAGGCCTATAATCCTAGCACTCTGGGAGACTGAGGCAGGAGGATCGCTTGAGCTCAGGAGTTGGAGACCAGCCTCATCAAGAGTGAGACTCTGTCTCTACTAAAAACAGAAAAAATTAGCCAGGTGTGGTAGTGCACGCCTGCAGTCCCAATTCTCAGGAGGCTGAGGCAGAAAAAAGGATGGCTTGAGCCCAGGAGTTTGAGGTTGCAGTGAGCTATGATGATACCACTGCACTCTAGCCCAGGTGACAGAATGGAGACTCTGCCTCAAAAAAAAGTGAGAATCTCAAAGGGTAATAAAGTTTGCCAAATACAGTTAAGAAAATAAGGGGGAAATACCCGCAGGTCCCAGCTATTTGAATAATTCCAACACCCACCCGCTGTCAATTACAGACTATCAGGGTGGGGCTAAGGGAACAGGATGAAGCCAAAAAAGCTCAGTGACTTGCTCAAGGCCACACACCAAGTTAAAAATAAAGCTGGAATCAAAATCTGGGCTCCCTGAATCCTAACATAATCTTCACCACCATAAGTGCATAAACCAACATATATAAAAGGGCCAAGGAAGATACTTATTTACTTTATATAATGCCAAACTCATGACATATATAGAGCAAAGTCATTACAAATTGTAGCACTTGCACTGATCTTTATTGAGTTTGTGACATCTTGGCCCCAACACCCCCGTTGGCCAGATGCTTTTCATGAGTTTAATGAGAGAAGATACGGGGCATTGACTCGTATTCTCTCCTTCCGGATAAATACAGTGGGCTCTTCTGCATAGAGCTGGATTCAGGTACAGGCTGGCTGGGCAGCAGCCCATGGTGCTAAACTAATTGGGGACATTTAACAGACTGGAGAAAACTATAGTGATCAGCACTCCTCTCAAAGAGAGTGGTTATGTCAGAAGGAATGGTTTTATAAAATCATTTGAAACCTCCACCTGACCTCTCCTTTCCCTTCTCATCAAAGTTCAGTTTAAGCCATTAAATTACCTGCTAAAAGGGTGAGAGTCTTGATTTCCCCAAGTGGGTGGATTCAAGGAGACAACTTTGGAGCCCAAGCTGAATGACTTGTGGGAGTAGAGGAATTAAGCACAACCACCAGGCAGCCCTCCCTGCATAGATCTCACCCATTCCTCTGAATCAGGCTGACAAAATTTTAAAGTCACTCTTTAAAGGAACACCAAATCATTAATTTTTCCAGGATGTCCTGGACTGGCCTTGTTGTCACAGGGAGACAACCCGACCGAGCCAATGGTGGATGGTTGCGTTTGGTCCAGCTGTGAAGCAGAGGAAGATTGGATTATGTCTTGAGGTCCGTTATGGCTTAAGATTCTAGGCCAACTGATGGAAAAATGCTATAAAAGTCGTCTAATAGCTCTTATCAAATATATCCAAAGAAAAAAAACTGGAGCCCACTTTTGGGCCAAAATTTTGACTATAGTATTTGCTATAGTGAGGTTCTGTTCTTCATAATTCTTATAATGGAAAGAATCAATTGCTTAGCCCTAGAACAAAAGAATCTAGACTCTAGTGCTGTCACTTAATTATTCCCGTGATCTTGTACATGCTATTTAACCCCTCTAAGACGCATTGTCCTCATCTGTATAATGAGGATGACAAATTTATTTGTTGTGAATTTAAGCGAAGTAGTGTTTTAGAAAATATTGTTAGAATGCCTGGCACACAAGTACTCAGTAAATATTATTGAATCAATTAATAATTAGTTAATTAATAAATATTAGGTCATGTTAGTAATAATCTGTAAAGATTTATATGAACCTTTATGAAAGTGACAAGACCTATTATAAGAGAAAGATATTTGGCCTTGAGAACAGTGTATGTGTATAAAATTTAATCAATAACTAAGTTAAAAATTTTCACAAGAAATATATAATTCTCTTCAAGGAAGAAAAAAATCCAGAAAGAGTTAATAAAAACGTGTTCAAGGATTCTTACCATAATTAAACACGGTATGAAACATACATCATGTTTGAAACCCACGCTGAATTTGTAAGCTGAAATTTCACAAAATCCTAACTGGGAATCTCCCTTGAGGAATAACCTTCAATTAACTATTCAACTTTTGTGGATCCCATTGCTATCGTTTAAGAAAGCACCAATTGCTTTAAAACACACAAAGACGTGCTGATACAATGCCAAACTCACACATGCACACACACACAAACACACAAATACATAATTCCACATTGCATTGATATATTAAACTTTTTGTGAAAATTATTTTAAATGTTATGGTAAATTATGTGGAACAGTTATTGTGTTTAGAGAGTTTAGAAGTACAGAAGCAAAAGGAGCAGTTGGGAAATAATCAGACTAATCCAGTTGACTGGCACATCTATCATGGAAACAAAAAAATGTTACTGCAACAGAAGTGGCTCTCTTTATCTTTCAAACTAAAGATTGGCTACGTTGTGCATTTATTTTAGCAGTTGTTGGGAAATAGACCCCGCATGACAGATTGGAAAAAACACTGGACAAGAACTGGGAAAATCAGCCATGTGACCTTAGTTAAGATAGGCAAGTCAATTTTCTATAGCCTCGGTTCCCTCATCTGTAAAATGGCTATAAAAATTCCAGTCCTGCTTATTTCACAAAGATGATGTGCTCAACTCCCTCATTTCACACACAAGAAAGCTGAGTAGTGAAGTGACACTTTTAAGGTCACATAGCTAAGCAGTGACTGAATCAGGACTGGACATAAAACTCCTTTGAAGACTTGGACTTTCTGCAGTTAACAAAGCTGCCATTGAAGCAATAGATAGGAAAGCCCTTTGAAAAATGTAACATAAGGGTTTCCTTCAGTAGAAGTATTATGGAGTACATCTACTAAATCTCACTCAAGGTCATCTTGTGGCAATTAATTAAGAAATGCCTTTTGAGACTGTACCTGTATCTTTAGCAATAGCCATCTTTCTTTTAACATCAAGAAGTAAACAATTAACTGAATTAATTCAGACACTGAAGTGGATTTTCAAGGACTTGACTTGCCCAAGCTAGTTTTCTACAAAGCCTAAATTAATCAGATAATTACTAATTCTCCCCTTTGTTTTGTGCTGAGGAGAGTCTGTGTTTGTTAAAATGAACCTTATAGCACAATAAACAGTCATTTAAAAGATTTCAAAAACCCAAATCTGAACGAAACAAGCAAATTCCAAAGCATACTATTTCTTTAGGCATCTTCTCTAGTCATTACTATAAAAGGTTAATTTCCTTTATCTGAATGTGAATGTTAACACTGCTTTTGTGATTAAAGATTTTTTACGCAAACAAATGTTTTGAAGAAACAACCTAAACTGATATTGCAGGATACTATGAATGTGATTTATGTCACTGTTAGTAAAAAAAAATTTAAATACATCTCCTGGCATGACTAGAAACAGTTAAGTCTTTTAGATTAAATTCTCACTGACACTCTTTGAAAAATAGTATAGCATGGTTTTAAATAACCTCCAGTTAACAACTATCAAAGTCTTAAAATTAAGCAAACAATGTTAATTACCCTCCTAATATCAGGAGGAAAGTAATTTAATTAATTGACTCTGAAAAATTAATTACATATGAAATGAGACCCATTAGACCTTTCCTGTTTCATCAGAATTTCAGACTGAAGGATAACTGGTCTTATCACGTATAATTTCTTTGTGGTTCAGCTAGCATAAAATAGACTATTGTGATGATAATTAAATAATCTGCCCAAATAAATTTAGGACCAGAACTTTAAAACAAACCAGTGTGAACAGCGAGCTCTTACTTTTTCAGTATTAAATTCTTACATTTCAATGTAAAGATTTTACTCTATCCGTGTAGACCCTTGAATTAGCAAAGAAATAACAGTAAACCGTCAGATTCAGTACAGCAGTATAATTTGGTTTTGTCAAGTTGGGAATTAACTAAAAGTGAAAATGTGACTAAAATACTTTATGTAACATAATAACTATTGATTACTCAGATAGTTTTCATAAAACAGTTGGCAAATTTTAACTTGAAACAGCTGTCACTATAAATTTAAAGTAAATGTTAATTTAGGAATACTAACCTTGTGAATGTTTCTGTAAATAAGGTTTGTACTATTTCCAAAAGGTTACAGAAAATCACTAGAGCATTTTTAGCCAAACTTGGTGCAACTTTACCCTCAATGTTCTTAAATCCTTCAGTTTTACACATAAAAGACTTTAATCATACTAGAATGCCTTTTTAGTGATTCCCTTGAGTATACAAACTGCATGAAGAAAGGTAATTGATATTTACATCTTGGAGGTGAGAGAATAAATAAACTAAACAAACAGTATTGCCAGAGATACATTTTACTCTTTCATACAGGAAAAAACATTTGTATCAAGCAAAGTTCCACTGTTTACTAAATAAAGTAACCTGTAAATACTTAGAGCAATTATAGCTCACAGATCTCTGGGGCTAAAGCACTGGCTGTATGCTAAAGTTAGCACTGTTCTGTTTTGTCCTGTTTGTACAACTTATTTCCAAGTAAAATTTGCGTGACAGATTGCAAACTCTCTTGTACAAACTACTAGAATCGCATCAAGTGTCGTAGTTACTCTGATACGTACATGCAGCATAATGTAGTAGTCAACTATAGAAATGCTTGTTTTCAATTAATTAAAACCGTCTTTTTCTTGGAACACACATGCGAAGAAAGCTACAACAAAACATAAAAACGCATAAGGCATACCTGCAACATGCTGAGCTCTTTCCAGTACTCACCCGTTCGGCAACTTAGTTTCTCCTTGGCAGCACTTCTATGCCAAATGCTTCTACCTTCCCAAAAATGTATGTCAGCACAAGCCCAGACGAAACTTCAAATCCAGGAAAATAAAATTAACCATGCAGATCAAAGGCAGACGAGCAGGGAGATGAAATGCCTGTAATCTGATCGGTGATCAGTTGCTGAACATCAAAGGCAGGGCTGAGTTTATATATATGCAGGGATATCTAGAAAGTTCACTTTTAGCAGGTAGTTTCCCTCCCGCCTCTCAGTCCACACATTCTTTTGTTAAACATGGATCGCGTTGTTTTCCTCCTCTTTTTTTTTTTTTTTTTTTTTGCAAAGAGGCAATGCCGGTGGTTCTCCTGTGCTTGGACTGAGTGGCTGGATCTGTAGCTTTCTCGGTTCCCAAGCTGTGTTGTGGAGTGTGTGTTGGAAGCTTTTCCTAGTGCCAGCGGGTTCGGCATTATCCCTTTCATCTCGCTGAACTGCAGATCCCATGACATCATTCAGCGCCGTGGGACTGGTAGGAGAGCTATAATTCAGCCTGTGGGGGAGTGGAGCTCAAGAGAAGCCAGAGTTTGCCTGATTTCTAATCACGTTAGACTATTATGCCTCACACAGGACAGTTTCTGTTATCTGCCTCCCAGCTGGAAAGGACACCAACTGCCAACTGCTGCTGACCTTTGCTTGGGTGTTAAGATCCCTGATCTATGGAGGTTCCAAATGACAGCATTTAATTGCCTCCTCGTTGATAAAAATCACAATTTCCTGCAGACTGGGTGTCAAATATTCAGAATAGCTAAATAGCGTTATAAGACTATTGGGGGGAAAAAACAGAGATACCGTGAGTGGACCAGATAACATTTAAAAATTTTGTTTTTGTTTTCAATGTGGCAAGTCTTTAAGAGTTTTAAGTAAACTGGCTTTTCCTTGAAAAGTAAATTAGGATCTGACTGCCAACCAAACACTGGTGTTTTAATTAAAGTAGTTAAATAGCAGATAAGCAACAGTTGACCAGTGGACTTCTATCTGCCACTGTCTCAATTGAGGCCTTAGGCAGAGACTTCATCCTAGTTTGTGATTCTAAAAATTAGGCTTAAAGCAGTGTCTAGTTCTCAGACATAATTCATTAATACTTGTTGAGCATTTTAAAATTCACAGAACAAAAGAAGTATATAGAAAAAAAGCACTTGCCCTGTGATTACCCAAACCTGTGTTCTTTGCCTTTTAGGGCCGTTTCTCCCAAATCCATAGGTTAGAGTCTTAACTCACTAAAAAAAGTACCACTTTAATCTAATTCTCCATATTTTAAAATTAAGTCTATTGCATATTATTTAAATTTTTCTTAATAATAGCAGATTCCACAAAATAAGATTTTTGTATTTTCAGTGTTTAATAAAATAGAAGATAAGAAATTTCACCTTTATTTCAATCTAGGATATGGTGCATTTCTGAATTACAGACTGTTCTTTCATGGAATGAAGAAAATTTTTCTATTATATAATGGAAACTTACCAACTTTTAGAAGTTCAGTTAAAAATATTTTGTAAAATGTAGGAGATAGTAGCACTTAATCTTTCTTTATGTAACCCTGCACCCCCATTGGTTTTGTCTAATTTTTCCTGATGTAATATTTGAAAATGTAGTTTATGATGTGTATTTCTGGACGTCAATGATTCTTGCGTAATTTTCAATAACAAAATATTTGGTTTGAACAGTTCATGAGTTCAGTACATTTCAATAGTCCCATTTATTTTTAAGTGCTTCTTGTATAATTTTTCTACCTGATCCATCACTTCTCAAAGATGCACAGAGCTCAGGGAGTATTTGAACTGGCCAGTGTGATGCTTTATGACTTCCTTAAAGCAGACCAAGAAAATTCCTGTAACCTCTGGGCTCCACGTAAAGTTCCCTGGGCTCCTTGAACTCATGAATACAAAGAAAATATTTGCAAAGACAAAAATATTTCCAGGAGGGCTTCAGCCCATTTCTTTTCTGAGGTAGTACAACCCCGCCACCAGCGTGGAATCCATACTCCATCAACCTGTACTCAGGAATAAAGTCTCCTGTACACTGATCTATTAAATCATAACAACTCAAGGCTCTGTGAAGTTCATTGGCTAAGCAAGTAGATCCTAATCTATGTCTCTACAGTGTTCAACGGCAACAGAATGGGATTCTTGAAGTTCCACTGGAAGCTTACAGGAGGCATTTAAAAGCAGGGACTCAAATGGAAAACAGCCATATGATCCTCAATTTACACAAGTCTCACCAGGCAAGATTTGTAGCTCAAGACATGTCTAGCAAGGCAATGTCATCCCCAGCGGTAGAGTTTATTCGCCAAGTCACTGAAAATTATTTTGAGTTGGTCCTCTTGTGATCAAGAACCCTCTCCCCACTCCATGAATGAGATGAAAAGGGGCCCCATCTCGGGAGCAGAGTGTGGCCAGAGGCCCACGTGGCATGAGGAGTGACCTCCCGACCCCTGCTCATTAGTGCTGTGCTCAGCCAACCGGGCTCCCTTCATTGCAAGATGCAGCCTGGCCCATTGTTGCTTCTGAATGTCACCAACCAGGGAGGGGAGCTCCTGCAAAGCTTTTCTCTCTCCTTCCAGGAAACTTAGTGAGATTAAATCCGATGCTGCAGGGATGAGAAATACAGCACTCCACTCTACGTGTTTTAATAACTCCAAGTCAGAATATTTCACGGCTGATTCCATGTCACAGTGCACATGGGTCATCGCTGTCTCTTTCCCAAGCTGCCTTTCAGCCACCTGGCTGTGTAGCTGGGCTGCCAGAGCACTCTGAGCCACCGAGGGGAGCTCCAGGCTGCATGTCATGGCACTGAAGACCAAGAAAACGTCAACTGTTCATATCTGAGAGTGGAGGGGCTTCCTGAGATTCTCCATGAGGTGGTCTCATGTCACCCCCAATTGCCACTGTGTGCTCTCTTCCCAACACTTGAAATGTGTTCATCGTGACAGATCACATAAATTCCTGCTGCATTTTGTTCTATCACGTTTCATAGTTTTTTAGAGTCATCTGGAACTCTTTTTTAATGTTGTAAATATTTTCTCCTATTCTGTGGCTTGTCTTTCTGGTCTTTCAACAGTGGCTTTGCAGAGCAGAAGTTTTTGATTTGAATAAAGTCCATTCATCAATTTATCATTTATCAAAGTCCATTTACTTCTTTCATGGATTGTGTGTTTGGTATTGTATCTAAAAAGTCATTCCCAAACCCAAGGTCATCTAGGTTTTCTCCTTTGTTATCTTATGGAAGTTTTATGGTTTTGCATTTTACATTTAGGTCTCTGATCCATTTTGTGTCAATTCTTGTGAAAGGGGCTGAAGTCTGTGTCTAGATTCATTTTTTTGGATGTGAATGTCCATCACCACTTATCAAAAAGACTGTCCTTTCTCCATGAAATTGCCTTTGCCCCTTTGTCAAGGGTGAGATGATTATATTTGTTTAGGTCTATTTCAGGGCTCTGAAGTCTGTCTCACTGATCTATTTGTGTATCCTTTTGCTAATACCATGCTGTCTTGATTACTGTAGCTTTACAGTGAGTCTTGAAGTTGGGTAGCATCAGTCCTCTGACTTTGTTGTTCTGTAGTATTGTGTTGGCTATTCTGGGGCTCTTGCCTTCCCAACTTTATAATAGTTTGCCTATAGTATTTTAAAAATTAATTATTTTAAAATTGATACATATCAGATGTACATTATAGTGTCTTTCTAATCATCATTATTATCTAGCTATTCAATAATTTCGGTTTTGATTTTTTTCTTTGAAGCATGTGTGGCTCAAGAAAGAATTTCATAATTTCCCAGTAGCTAGCCCTCATTTTGATTCAATTTATATTAAAAATTCATGACCAGACACTGTGAATCATGTTATTTCAATTTTTGTTAGTTTATTATGACTTTCTTTGTGACCTTAATAATCTGTCATTGTAGAATGAGGTAAAAAGATTGTGCATTATCAGAGCAATAGAGTTCTTTTCACTGATGTCTGGCGCTGGTACTTAATTTTTAAAACTTTATATTTATTTTTTTATTGGGTACCGTAGCACTGTTAGCTTCAATTCTTAAATGTCCCTTAGGCAACATTAGAAATTAGAACTATATACCCATAATTGCATGGCAATGAAGCAGCTAGTGATTTAAATAAGTCATCAAATTCAGAAGTCTTCAAAAAAGCCACCTGTTGATAGTGAATCAGGTGAAACTATCTGAAATGTGGTGGTCTGATATTGACAGAACAACAACAGCAACAAGGACAAGTTAATTCAGCGGACACAGCCATACACATCCACCATGGGATTAAAAATGCAGTATTATGCCCAGGAAGGAGCCTCAGACCATCCAACTGCAGTCTGGCTGCCCTCTGCTCTTCTACTTTGCTGTAACAGATTCCAAAATCATTTTTTTTTCTGCCCTATTGCCCTCCAAATACTCTTGTGAGCCTAGGCTGGCTTTCAGATAAACTATCATACTTTATAATTCATTAAATGCTTTCCATTTCTTTTTCTGCCTTTTCAGCATTTATCCTGATCAATATACCAGACTAATTTTGAATCTTGGTTCTCAGTAGAGTTCAATAATGCTAACAAAAGCTGCCAATGGAACAGCAGGAAAATACAGGAGACACCAAGAAACATCTTCAGAATAACAGCACCATTACCAAAGAATAAAACGATTTTGGTTTCATCAGGAAATACAATGTCAGATTAAGACAGGCCTGCTCTTAAAAGTCAACTCTAAGAAATACTGATCTCAAGTCAAAATATTTAATAATTCAACCACCCTTGCAATTGAAAGAGCACCCACAACACAGTTGGGGTCATAAAATACACAGAATAGTTACAATTCTTGATTAAAATCAGAAACTTACAAACTGTTTATTTTGGGGGAAAAAGGTTTAATAAAACAGCCCTGCTAAATAAAACTGAATTTTTACCACCTTGCAAAGTAAGGTCGTAGAGTAGATGGAGAGTCCTTCAATTTCAGACAGTGAGAAGTAGGTTAAGAAAAGGTTTAGAAATACAGCTTTTGGTATATTCTTAAAACAAAATTCCTAAGGTCAGATTAGTTTCTTTCTCTTCTAATATGAACAACAGAAAAGAAAGACAGTTTAACTGTGTGAGGAATCCTGTTTGGCACAGCATATTCAGTTTATCATAAAATTATCTTCGTAAAAACTTTCTGTTTGGAGATAATGTTAGATTCACAGAAGAATTGCGAAAGCAGTACAGAGAGTTCTCACATATCCTACATTCACCTTCTTCGTGTGTGAGTGTCTTACATAACCATAGAACACTTGTCAAAATTAAGATATTAATCTTGGTATAATACTCTCAACTAAACTGCATAATTTATTCAGAAAATTCATTCTGTAATGTACGGTGCTATGGGTTTTGACAAATGCATAGAGTATCCTAGTATTCAACATTACAATCCCCTGCAGAACAGCCCTGTCACCCCCCAAATCTCCTCATTCTGCCCCTTTCTATTCAACCTTTCCCCACTCTTCAACCCCCAGCAATCCCTAATCTGTTATCTCTTCCCTGTTTTTTGTTCTCCCTGTGTTGGGTTGTTAAGTCATATA